AAATTTTGTTCATTAGCCCTATAAGGTTTTAACCGAGCATATATGTATACATAATAGTTGTGTAATTAACTGCAATATTCACTTAGCTTTCAATAACATACCTGCATATATTTCCGTAGGAATTATTAAGGTCCTATTTTTGACAGATATTATTCAAGTCTGTCAGTTCATGGCAATTATTATCCACTTTGTACTCTTATTGCCCATGATTACCATATTTTGCTTCTACTGCTTTAGCGGCATAAGAGAATTATTAGTGAGGGAAGGCCAATGCTTAGGTGTCACTTATGTTCTACAACAAGAGGATATGTAAAAAGCCGCGGGAAAATTATAGCAGCTCACTCTCGTCTGTGTAAGTGAATTTAAGCGTCGGTTTAAGTTGTTTTCCTAAGTTGTTTTCTGTACATATACTTCTTAGTTGCTTTTCCTCTCGCTGAGAGGTATTTGTCAACATTACGCACTCTGTCATTTCGCACTTTTAAATCAAGCCTGACCTTGACACACACGTGTAGTAAACATAGCTGTTTATCATTACCAATTTTCGTGGGTGCTCCGAATTAGAATATTAAATCACAACTATTTTTCTCTTGCACTCCGTAATCAGCAGATATTAAAAAGGCTTCCTTCAGTTGTTGTTGTTGTTAGCGGAGGCGCTGGCAACCGAAGCCTTTCCCGCACCTCCAGTAAGTAACCCTACCCATGAAAAAGCAAAGGCCGATTTTAAAGCCCCGCCACAAAATTTAGTGCACTTATTACATTGGGTTTGAAACGATCCCCTATGGTACGAAATACTCGTAAATGCGGTGGTTCAAAGCTCTACTTCGACGACGTAGTACATGAGTGGTTTGTCTTGAATAGAGCCTTCAACATGAGACACTGCTAGTCGAGTGCGGAACCCGGCTCATCATATTTGATGTTCAACGTGTTGGTCACGATCGAGGATTAACTTCTAAACGCCGTGTCCAGCGTTACTAGAAGAAAGCTGGCATGCTTCCCAAGATTTTAGCTATCCATTACGGGCAATCAAGTCGTACTCACAGTTCGGGCCATCTGCAATTGAGAAGTGGAGTGTTAGGAGTTAGCAAATCAACGACTCTCCAAACAGGGTAAACTCCTATTGCTCGAATTCACAGAGCTTAGCCTTAAAATAACCTGTATTGTCCAAGGAGATCGCGCGTCGCAATAGGAACCAACGTCGGTTTCTCTGAGGCACAACAATTAAACATTCACCAAGCTTCTGCTACCGTTTTATTCCCAAATTAAACTTTCCTGACAGTATATAGATTAAGAGAAACCAGCTAGCCATTTTCAAGCTTATGATGTGCCTCGGATGTAGCAAATCAACTGAGTTAGTTTAACTAGCTATCAAACCACCTGCGAGCATGACGTTTACTTCAAAGTAACCGAGGGCCAGGAAAGGTATCTGGGTGAAATCCCACACTGAATGTATTTGCTAGTCGGAACCACATACCCCATGCCTGGCAGAAGGTACTTTGGTGGTCGCATTCGGACGATTTGTATGGGTGCTAGCATGTTAGATAGCACTAATTATTGAGCAGTTGTGGGAACATGTTGGTGAGATTTCGTGTCATATGATACACGAAATTAGTGAAGGCACTTTTGTTCCTTATTCAAGTTCTATAGCAGAAACACGGAAACTAAACCATAAAGCGAAGCACTGTATGCTGTTTTATGCTTTTTAATAACAAGAACAAAAAGGTTGTGTGGCGGAAGCTTAGATCCACCTTGGAACATAACCCAATTTGATCTCAGCACGAAGGCTTCGGTTGAAAACTGGTCAGCCGGCGATCCTTTTCCGCCCTACTAGTGTCAATCCTGTTGGAGCACACCCAAGGTTGGACGGCACGAGTACCTTCAGAAAGTGCTAAGCAATGTGTGCATCTAGAAGCTTATCTACTATGGAAACTTTTTGACCCGCACCTTCCACTGTTTTGAACAATTGGGTTCAAAGCACGATCGGAACACCGCCTCAAGAAAGTTTCATCTACCGGCAAGTGTTCAACTTGCCATGTCATGGCAATATGTTCCGTCCGCCTCTCCAGTGGATTATTTATTGTACCAGATCCTTCATGTGCTTGGCATCAGTATCCGATGGATACGTTACCCACATCGCCAGTGTGGTCGGTCATCAATTCCAGGCCTATCTATCATGGAAGCTTTTTGTCCCGTACCTTCCACTGGCTTGAACAATTGGGTTCAAATCGTTGTTACCTCCGGAACATAATATAAATAGCTTCATCCTCCTTCAAATAACCCACATGCTTGCGTTGACATGGCTTTATGCTCCCTCCACATCGCCAGTGGATAAATTTTCCTGAAAGCATTGTTCCCTATCCTTTGTGGGTCCGAACGATTTGGACCAAATCCTTATAACTTTCGGCAAATCTGAAAAAACAACTTCACCTTCATGCAAGTGCTCAACTTACTTGCAATCCCATGGCGTTATGCTCCCTCCACCTTGCCAGTGGATTACTTCTTCTTGCTACTTCACCCACCACGCCCATGTGTTATGAAGACTTTATACATTCCGGATGTATACTGTCGGTTGTCTATATTACTACGCTTGGCCATACCTGATTCCAAAGACCAGCAAGCTCCTCGAAAGTTCGAAACAGCCTCTCTATGCAATCGTCCCACTTAGCTGCATTGGTTACCTCCCGTGGACCTATCAGCGACACACCTGGCCCGTGGGTTATCTGTTCCGGCAAGGATTTGATTTGAGCTCCATACTCACCTGAACAACGCAGCACCGCAATTTACACAGCTTATCTCCGAACAGTACCGCTGTCCGCAACCATTCCTGATGCGTCCTGACGCTGCCCGGTAGTCGCAGACCTAGCAGGGTACTTTAAAGATGGTGACGTTTGTTGATTGGTCGGACGGGAGTGAAAAAATTGACTTTTAGACTCTGACATTCTAATCCGGTGTAACTTTAAAACGGTTTTAGTGTGCTAAAAAGCTAACAACCGTTTGCCGCCGATTCGAATGCTCGGCAATATGGTTAACCAAATGCTGTAAATTTGGTAAATTAATTAGACAAAGAAATTCTCGCACCCTTATGTCCAATGTTGCACAGCGAGCGCATTGTAATGTTAAACGTCAAAATCAGGTCGCCTGTTATCATGGATGCTGTATTTAACTAACTCGCAGTCTTGGAAGTCCGTTAAAATCATTGGATTTCCGCAATATACAAAGCATATACCATATCTGCGATTCGCCAGACCACTTCTTCGAAACTGGCCCTGATGTAGCTTGAGGACGCCCCTGATGTAATGCATGACATCTTGGCATCTTAAGCTCACAACTCATCCACAATCATTGTCGTTACCGTCTTATCATCTAAGAGACTTTAGCAAAATCCGTCCGCACCCATTTTCTACGGTTTAAGAATAACAAACAGAATACAAGATTATTTTATCCATCAACATCCTCTTCCAAACCTAATTGGGTTATCCTACGGACAATCTCGTCCTTCGACTGCAGTATGGAAAGAGTAGACGCCAGTACAAAAGCATCCGGTAAGGGTCAATAAGGGATAACCCCATGAATTGTCTCCATCAGTGACCCTCGTTCTTTTAACTTATCCATTACCGCAATCACAAGACCCAGCATGTCTCAGTCGGATCAGTCGCAAGCATCACACAGGTGCTAACATTGAAATTCTGAATGCAAAAGGTACTTAGCCATTACTGAGTAGTTCCTGACGTGCTTCGACCCTCTCACTGACATGTTGATCCAAAGGCTGAATGGACCAACTGGTATCCACAACCCTCCGGCTTCTCTCTTTCTAAGGTCACTTCGTCTATTGTTAAATATTTCAACAAAGACAACAGCCTAGCCTACTGACTGGCAGGTTCGCAAACCCGTAGATATTCCTCATATAGGATATTGTAGGGCAATGAATTAGTCAACCGTGCAGGCGAACCTCAATCTATGCTTCTTATCTACATCTTCATTCGTTGTCTTCCGCTTTCCAGTTATCACTTTCCAACTTCTTGACCACTGGTTACGCGCAAAAACGTTTAGGTACTTTTAGTAAACGCATCCTACTAGACCTAAGCCTTGCATGGGATGATGAAAGCGTTTGTTGCTGCTGATGCACTTAAGCTTAGCATTAGAATTGTACAAAACCGTCTAAATGCCGGCTTTAAATGAATCTTTACGTGCCTTCGTATATGTCGGTTGCTAGCTGGCCATAAATGATGCTTTTTCATTAAGCCTTAGCACTAGATACTGTACTCCGCAGTTTCCAACCACTATCAGTATGTAACCAGCAAAATAATATATCTATTTTCATATTGTTGACAGAGAGCACTTTAAAAGTTTTAGGCTGAAGAACCAGACATTTTGCTCTTCACTTATCCTCTCTTGGCCCATATACTTAGCGTTATCTGGTATACATATGCCTTTCAATATTGGCAACACTAGTAGACAGGCATAATGAAAACCAGATCCTCTAT